TATTCATTCTTTTGCCTGTTGCCTTGATGACGGCACAGTGCAGGTTGAGCTACATGCTATGGGACTTTGGACGAAGCGAATCTTATTATCATGTTCACGAGTTATTCATCTAAAATGGTACCTCCATTCAAACCATCCATAGTAGGCTTTCCATGCTATCTTGTAGACATACTCTTTATGATCATCATTGAACATACTATATACATACTGGGAAACGCTACTTAGACTCGCTCGAGAGGTCTCTGTGCGGGCGGCGTGTCAGTATAGTGTACGCATACGACTTTGAACAGCATGTGTTAATGATTCATATAATGTAGGCATGCATTCTATGACGTTTACAGGGTAAACACAACACCTTTACTGTCAGCTAGTCGTCAGCTACCTGTCTCAGCGATGTCTTCCCATAGCTTCACCTCAATAGTACCCTGGTTCAGTAAATAGGAACAATTAATTTTATTAGAATATAGACACTAACACACACTAAGGACATCACTTGCCCAGCTCACGAGAGTTTTCATAATCCAATATATCTTTTGCAAAAGCGAAGATATGCAGAAATATGGCAGGCGTAGCAAAAGTGCTTTCGAAGGACTTTGCTCACTGAATTGGTTGGTTCTTCATTATTGGCCATGCTGAAGCTCCTTGATAGCAAACAGTGTCTTGGGTCCGTCGATCCAACGCCTTCCCCTACTCGTTCGGCCTGGGTCAGTTTAGTGTAGTACGTAACGGTAGTATCCTTCACAAGCTTTGACTTGACTTCGCGACCCGCGTCGTGGAGTAAGCAGTATGTGGTCTCTGCGATCGTTTGACCATCGGTGGTTGCGTACTTCCAAAGTCTGTTACCCATTTCTGGCTTCAGGAACACCGGTTTATATCCTCACTGTTCACTGACTCACTAGCGAGTTTGAGAGTCAGGTTTGTTGTCCAACCAACTTGTTGACCGCGAGGCGTCATCTCTGCATCTTTGGGTATCTTAAGTATGTATGGTCTCCTCAGTGTTGACGACAAGGAGACGCGCTATTAGGAACGGAAGGAGACAGAATCTCTTTGGCTGTACTTTTTCTCTTGCCGAAAGTTTGTACAAGCTTCATACAAGTAAGCGGACTGTATTTGAAGGTATAATTGGGATACACAATATAGTCATTGTTATGTCCAATACTTATATCACAAGCAGAATCGATGTGGGCTCGGAATATGCAGTGATTGGTGAACGAGATGCAATATCGAGCAGGAAGCGACCATGACTGTTCCAGCATTCATTGATAAGAAATTTAAACCCTAAACCCTGGCGTGTGACCAATTCTCCGTCCAAAGGTTAGCTCCTATGGAGAACTGCCGCCTCTTTTCACTTCGAGCGGGAATGTGTTAAGCTTTTCTTGCTCTTCTAAAGTACCCTTCAGATGTCCCTGCTGAAGATCTTGACATTCTGCACCCACCAGTTATATAGAAGAGATTCAGCTTTGATAGATCTTCCTTCTTGAGAAATCGTCGAAGCCATTATTCCATCAAGGCGGAGCACGGTTTATTCTTCACCTGCTGTTGGATTGGCAATCGTTCTAAGGGCAAACTGGATCTACCTGCGGAATCAGTCGTGGACGGTTAGTTTTATCCCATAATTCCAGTGTGCCATGTCAATTTGTATGGCTAATATGGCAAGCCTTCATATATCTCCCTTTCTTTGATGCTTGACCTAAACTCTTAGCACAGGGAAGTCCCCGAACAGCCCGTGACACCCGAATAGCAGAGCAGAGATGTTAGCCCTTGCTATAAACCAAGGTGTGTAGTCAGCGATGAATCGAGTCAAGTACTCCATGTTTTCCAGCCACAGTGGGCCCAAGCAACTTCACGAATAATGCCATGAGTTTCCTCTTTGGATGGACTCTTCCAGAAAACTAAGATCTCGCTTCGACATTTTCGAGATTCCTTTGCGCTCCTTTTTGAGCTTCTTCTCCACGCGGTTGCTTATGCGGCTACCAGCCCTTGAGAAACTGCTGGCCAGAAATATGGCCTTGTGGATGACCTATGTGAGTCGTCAACTTAATACCAAACGGGAATAATGTAATTTTTCTTCTTAATGGGAATAACTAACTGCAGTGGGATGTCTATAACCAGAGCAGAAGAGTATTGGTTTCCTGTTCCAATTTATGTAAGTAAAGGGGGCAAAGAGGTTTCTGCATCTGCTTCAGAGACTACCCGGATGCATGTTTCTTGGTAGCCAGGTTCGACAGCAAATACTATAATATGCTAGCGCTTCAATAGAAGAGTGACATGGGCATCTCGCACTATATTGCTAGGAGTGATGGCAATGACTGGATACCTGCACACGTCATTTCCCTGAAGCAGCGGCTATAAGGACTTATGAGGTCTGATATCCCATTTGTGAGCTTCCATGGCTTTTTCGAATATATGGCTCCGCAGAGTACGTCAGATAACTGACAAGATATGAGGTCAAATTGTATGGCTCGTAAGCACCATTTGCTGTTCCTAGAGTGAAGTCTTTGGTGCTCGAGTAAGTTCTTAGGCCAACGAAACGAAGAAAAACCAGATCGACCTTCATATCACGCAACAATGTTCATCTCCTCCAACTCCCCGAGTTGAACGTATCTTCATCAACTTGCTTGACAGTCCTAACGTCCACGTTGTTAAGAAGGACTGCATGCACAGGAGCATCGATCAAGGCGGTCCACTTCCCCAAGATTACTTGGGTCTTCCGAAAGTCACGTTCGCTTCAAGGCGTTGTTGACTGGGAGCCATTCAGTCAGGAACAGAAATGAGGAGAAGCTTGATCTTTAGCTCCCGACAGCAGGGCCAGATGTCTGTCATCGATCGGGGCGATTCTGCGTGTCCTCTGCGTCGGATAGAATTCGGTCATTGTCATGCGTACTCCGTCACTATATACCAGAGTAATTATCAGGGCAAGCGCCAAGCCTAAATTCAAGTTTGCGGAGCTTGTCTTCTCCCAGACGCAAGCCGCTATTTCTTCTGGTCTATTCTAAAGTGCAACAGAACCTGCGGAACAGCAATTGAAGTTATAGAGTGAGTGGCTTTCCAATGACTCGTGTAGGTAAAGACGAGTTTTCATGTTAGCGTTTTGGTATAGTAGGGCTCGATTATCTGTCCGCCCTCCTTCTGGCCACTATCAGTCAGCAGGCATATCCGGCTTTATAACATTTAGGTTGTCACTGTCGTTGTATGCTAGATTGCCATCGCAAATGGTCTCATAAAGCGAACCAGCTGCTTCCAGGAGTGTTTGTTGGGTGTTATTCCACAGTCATCTCTGGAGAGAGTCGAAAGTAGTTCAACTTGCTCCTACTTGTGATTCCCGATAAGGTGCACCAACCCTTTTGCGTTGAGTCTGCTCCGAACTTGTCATATAGTAGGCGGAGGGAAAAAATGATGAAGGTGTAATACCCCGACATACTACCTTTTGTTCATAGCGCTGTCCCTATATCTTCGAGATATAACATTTCCCGCATGGATCAATGATCTGGACCCATTCACTGCGTTCTAGCCCTAAAAGGCAGGGCACACGATGGTCATTTTCTGCCGAGGCTTTCCATACACTGGTGGAATAGTGACAAGACTGTTCCGAAGAATAAAGTGACTGGTGTTGAAGTCAACATTGATAGGCACCAACGCATGTCGTTCCTTGTCCGACGACATGCCCACTTATCAAGGCGACGTTCTCGATAATGGGAAGTATCGCATCCTAGAAAACCCTAGGGTCGTTTCTAGTACAATCGCAATGTGCAGCATTGGTTAGCTAGCTTATAGAATACTTGTTGGGTTTCTACCTTGTCTTGGCAAGAAAGCTTGTTTATCACAGTTTGTCAGGAAGAGCCATGAACTCTATCAGCAGGCTAGATGTATTGTCCACGTCTATCATGCGGTAGTAGACGTGAAGCCTAGCCACGAGGACATAGCTTCTCATTAGACCCACAGTGTTCAATGCTCCACTTCATCTCTTGGGTGAAGCTTTCTCCTGTCAATTGTCCCTCCTGAAAGTAGCTTTTATCGATATAGATGCGGCCGCTGATTTCTGTAAACGCATGCGTGCTGTCGTCCTCGTCGTAGTTCTTTGATGGCGCAAGAAAGTGACTGCCTGATGGTTCTTGTAATGTTGCATATTCGATCTCGTCAAGTATTGTTGAATAGCCATGTCTTGGCCGACTATCGGCCTGCAACGCCCTGAAATGGATTTATGGCGGAGGTACACATCAAGTGCAACTACAGGGTTGGCCCCATTCAATGAGAAGTTTAATAAGAAAGTCCTCGTGGGATTTAGGGCATTGTTTCTTGCATTACGACTGTAGAATTATTGAGCAGGGCCCCAATGCGGTTTGCTGTCCTCCACCATGGCTCTAACTTGAAGAGAACATATAGAATGAAAGATATCATGGAGATTGAAATGATCTCTGCAAAACGTTGTTTTTGTTTATACGACTATCAGTAAGACCAAGTAAACCTACAGGGTCTTGGGTCATTCCTTCGAATTCAAGCCACTATTAAGGATCAGGTTCCATATGCCAGATTCATCTAGCACAGCACTAAGGCATACTTGTTGCTGTGACCAAACTAGGAAAGACAGGTTTGCTTTCTTTATAAGGTATATCAGTCGATCAAGGCTTGTCTATCACTAATGAAACCAGGGCTGTAGAAAGTCCAGTGCATATATAATGCCTGCAGGGGAGATGACCAACCAGAAAGATGAAGAAGAGAAGAAGAGAAGAACGAGGAAAAGACTGCAAATTTATAGGCAAACGCCAGACCACTAATTCACCCATAAATGGCACAGTGACTGTGGCAGTGGTGGGTGGGAGTGACAAGCCCCAGTCGCCTTCACTTGTTCCACCTTCAGCCTCATTCAACCAGGCCTCTCCCCATTCGATCTATCACTCTTTCTCTACCCCCATCCTTATTCATATACGTCCATCTACTATCCTACATCTCGCCCTATCATCACTATCAAAGATTCACCACAGATGCCTAACAAAGTCACCATGCCAGACCTATCAGAAGAATCCAGTTTCTACGGCTTGTACTCCCTCCAATGCAAACGAACCCACCAACTAACCAACCCCACAGGTTCGGAGGAAGAGACAACACGTCTAGAAGAGGAAGTGTCCAAACTCGACACCGACCACTACTGGACAGACATCCATCCACATGAGTACAATACCATCAAGCAAAACGTCCTTGCAGCCCGAGGAACCATGCCCTCATCGCCATCCGATGCATCAGATGCACCCGAGCCCATGGACCTTACAACTTCACCCCCATCAACCCCAATCCCCACCCACGACTTCGACGTCCCAATTTCAAGCACAGACACAACCCCAATCAGACACAACCGCCCCTCACCCAACGAACCTATATCATCCTTCCTCGCCCGTCTACGCCCATCATCCACCCTCTCCACATCCCCCACAGGGTCCTGGATATACGTATCCAGCTACAGTTACCAGAACCCCCAAGCGGACATCAAGAAGCTTGTGAAAGACGGCACAGCCGAGCTAGGCGCGCACGAGGACAGGATCTCCCAGGCGCGGGCCGAACACGCTAAGAAGCCGAAGAAGACGCAAACGCCGGCTGCGCTGACGCGCGAACTCACCAGGCACCGTGTAGATCTGGAGAGGACGCTGTTTGCTCTGGCGCGGGAAACGGGTGTGGTTTCGGGCAAGTGGATGTTGTTTATCTCGCCGGCGAAGGTGGATGAGGTGTGGGGGGTGGTGGCGGAGGCTACGGCGAAGGGGGAGTTGGGGTTCGGGGCTAAGGTGGCTACTGCTACTGCTACTGCTGGTGGTGGTGAAGAAGGGGGTTCAAACAAGACGAGGTTGATTTGCATCTATACGAAGGATTATGAGGATAGAGCTGATGTGGAGAGGGTTTTGAGGAAGATGGTAGCTTTGGAATTGGTGGATTTGGATGGACGGCCGATTTATTATAAGTGTGATGCGTATACGCATTTGGATATCAAGGGGGGTAATGTGTGGGGGTTGAGGGCGAGTATGTACTCGAGTCGGGATTTTGGGAAGAAGTAGATTGTGATATTGAGTTTGGGGTTGAGCTGGTGTCTTGGACATTTGGTCTGTGCTTGGATATGATATGATGTGAACGTTGGTATGTATGCATGTTGTGGGTATATGGTTTCATTAATCTATATTGCGTTGCAGTGGCTTATAGAAGATAAGTGGTAGCTCAGAGACCGGCTCGAGCTGTTTAAATGCCTTGATGGATGAGACAAATGTCTGTCGGTCTGGAGGTGGCTGAATGGTGATAGCAAGGCACCCTCTTGTACCATGCTGGGGCCCACGTTATGAACCCGAGATGAAGATGGATCTTCAACTGAACATGGGTGCACCGTACTGACTCCGGAGAGGCTACTCTCACGCATTGCGGGGCATATCAACCCCAATCCAACTGTTGATGAGTCTGAAAAACCCTCAGGTATAGAATCCCCCAACTCAATCTTCTCTCCCCTCCATAACCTTCTCACAAGCCTCCCTAACCTCCTTCACACCCTTCACCCCCTCCCACTTATCCAACAACTTCTTCACCTCACCCCAATCCCCCTCCGCCTCATCCCCCTTCCCCTCCTCCAACAACTTCTCCAACCTCCCCGGCGCCGCAAGCACCCACTTCACCGTCCCTTTTTCAGCCTTCCTCCTCTCACCCCCCTCACTCTCCTTAACCTCCCTCATCCTCCTCTGCTGCTCCTCCCCCTCCTGAATCAAACCCCCAGCAGTCTCCGCCACAAACGCAATCGCGGGCCCCAGCGTCTTCGTCATCGTCAACGGCGCGCCCCGATCATCCATGGTCCTTCGCATCTTTCCAATCGTCTCAACAGCCCTAATCAACTTCGAGTAATTATCATACACCAGCGCCTTGCGCTCACTGTCCAACGTGCGGATATCCCCGACAAGCGTATTCTCCGCTTTCAGGACCGTCGATAGCGACGACGAAGCGAGGAGCTGGTTCACGTAGCGTTGCGGGTCGAAGTCCGGGCTATCGAGCTCGGTTCCTGTTGTGGAGAGTATGGATGGGCCGCCGGCACCGCTACTGCTGCTGGAGATGTCGCCTGCGTCGGTGTGCCGCGGGATGCTGCGTGAGCGGCGCCCGTCATTGTTGGGATCGGCTGCGGAGGAGGGTTTGAGGTTGTAGTAGTCGCGGAGGGCGGCGCGGTTGCGACGGGGGTGGAGGGATGGAGAGACAGCGCGGGCGGTGGATGGGGTGGAGGAGGCGCTGAGGTTGTTGAGGTTGTAGTTTGTGTTGAGGGTGTCGAGGGAGGGTCGGTGCGAGGATGTTGGTGTTGGAGAGTGGGCGCGGGATGAGGCGATTGAGGGGCGGGGGGAGGAGAGGGCGGACATGTCGATTGCAGATTTCGTAAATGTAAATTGTCAGAAGGTGAGGTTAGAATATAGGTGCGTATGTATTTTGTAGTGGTTCGTGAAAAGCAGTTGAAAGGTTAAAGATCGCCCCGATAAGGAGAGTTCAGATGAAGTCTAGCTAGCTGGTCCGTTCCCCGGATTCGTTCCGCTCCGCATCGGAGCTACGAACAGTAAACATTTTCCACCAGAGCTACTATCTACATCCTCAGCTTGAATATCACCTCACAACCATGCACCTTCTTTCTTTTGATGTTTAATTGACATCCCTACTACCAACAACAATGACCTCCAACACTCATCAACAAATAACCACCCACCTCCTCACCACCAAATCCCTCCCCGTCTCCCCCACCTGGCTAACCACCTTCCTCACCTCAACATCAACATCAACAACATCAACCTCACGCACCATCCCCCTCAGCGCCCTCACCCAAACCGCCCTCTTCCGCATCCTGACCTCCGACATCCGCGACTCCCTCAGCACGACCAACCCCTCCACCCTCCTCCCAGTCGACATCTTCGACCCCACGATCCAAGAACGCCGTGTCAACGGCCCCATCCCACTCCAAGTCCTCGACATCGAAGACATCGGCACGAGTCTCTGGAGCCAGGTGGAGGCTATTGAGCGCGTGGAGAGGGGGGAGGCGATTCGGGGGAGGGAGATCGTGAGGACGGTGAATGTGGGGGAGGATAGTGAGGCTGCTGCTGCGGAGAACAACAACAACAATAACAATAATAATAATGCAGGTGGTGGAGGTGACAGTAATGGACCGCATCGGTTGATACTGCAGGATGCGGCGGGGACGAGGGCCGTCGGGGTGGAGTTTGCTAAGGTCAATGGGATTGGGTTGGGGAAGTTGGCTATTGGGGCGAAGGTCGTCGTGAGGGATGTTACGGTTGCGAGGGGGTTGGTGATGCTTACGCCGGAGTCCTGTGTGGTGTTGGGAGGGAAGATTGAGGGGTTGGATGTGCAGTGGAGGGAGGGGAGGAAGGAGAGGTTGTTGGGGAGGATTAATGGGGGGGTGTAGACTGGGTCTGCTATTATGGTAGGTTTCCTTGTTGGAGGAATGTGGATGATGGAGTGTGTCTAATGCTTGTATGCATCTATACTAATATGTGTATGTGTGTGTGACAGTTAACCAACTACAACACGTCTAGCTGGTTGTTGAGACCGCGTGGTTCAGCTCCTCCCATCCAGTCTGCTTCCATGGCGCAACCATGATCGCCCGCAGTGCATCGCTTGCCTTTCCGGTCTGTGCGTATGCGGCGGAGAGATCGATGGCTTCCAGGTTGCTTCGGGGAGGGACACTCCTCGCTGCCCGTTTGGTCGCCATCTCCGCAGGGTACAGTTCCTGCGTGGCGGCCGCCAACTCTACCCAACCTTGAGGTTCGTACGGCGATCTCATCACCGCTGCTGTGGCCTCGCCGACGCGTCGAACATCCTCGGGTACGCCAGAGTTGTCCGTGAATCCAAGGGTCGAGATGGCGGTCAAGAGCTTGATTAGCTTACCGCGTTCGTGGATCTCAATGTCGTCTCTAGTGATCATATTCTGCAGATCGGACTCGACTGCATCGATGGCATCCGCATCGGCGTCAAGGAGTGCGATTGCTCCTAGGAGCGTGACGGCCCCAATGTGATCGGGGTTCTCCTCAACACAGTCGAATAGTTGCTGCCGTGCCACAGCGCGCTCCTCTTCTCCGCCCTTGGCCCACAGAACCTGTGCCAAGAGGCACACCACCTCCGGAGCGTTGTCGGCTTCCTGAAGGGCGTCTCGGAACATGTCAATCGCGTTGTCCATCGACTTCATGTAGTAATGTGCTAGACCGGCTGTCAAATGGGCCGACAGGCGCAACTTGCGGTTTGTCTCTGGGTCGAACTTCTCGGCATCTTCCTCTCCAGACAGCATAAGAGCTGTCTCCGCCTTCTCAGCAGCTTCTTCGAAGTCGTGGCGCGCCAGCAGAACACGAGCAATGTCTGCATTGGCCTGTGCATATCGGGAGAGGGAAGACGCGGATTCTGTGACTTCGTATTCACTTTCCATACCTGCGCAAACTAACCGCAGACTAGCCTCAGCATCGGTGTGTTCGCCAATTCTTTCCGCCAAGAGAGCAGAAAGGTGGACGAACGGAAGGTCAGACGGGTCCTGGCTGGAGAGCTGGTGCAGGGCAAAGAATGGCTGGATGAGTTGCGAGATTTCGTTCGACAGTGACGAATCAGACAGGAGGTGGTCGAATAAGCTCATCGTATACTGCTTCTTTGACAAACGGGTCGATGAAGTGGAGATATCAAAGGCATGTTCAAAGAGGCCTCTCGCTTCCTGAGGATCCCCGAACAAGAGAGCCAAGAATCCTTGGCCAACCCAGGCCGGGGAGTAGTCGGGGTCAGTGGACTGTGCCCGGGTGAAAGCCTCGTTAGCGAGCTGGATGTCATTGTGAATGAGATAAAGTGTTCCCAGGTTCGTCCAGACTTGGGCGCTCCTGTCGTTGAGATGAAGACTGCGGACGAATGCATGCTGTGCGACCTTGGGACTCATGCTCGTGGTGACTACTCCCAGGGCGTTCCAGAACTCCGAATTTCCAGCTTCGAGCTCAATGGCTCTCTTAAAGCATCGCATAGCTGCCTTCAAAAGCTTACGTGACTGCTTCTTGTTCTCCGTGTTCAAGATGGTTTGCAAACACCGGTAGGCTCGGTACTCTGCCCAGCCCAGGTTGTACCAGGCGACTGCTTGGGCATGGCTGTCCCGCAGAGAGACCTGAATGGCACGCTTGTAGGCCAGGATAGCAGCGTAGAGGCATTGGCTCGTCCGGTCGGCGGTCTCATCGTCCGCTGTCAACGAAGATAGATAGTCATGACCAACATTATCAACTTCTGTCAAAATATCCAGAGCCGTAGGTTCTAGCTGAGTCTCAAGTAGGTCTCGTAGCTCATCAACCGGCAACCTACCCGCTTTTGACTGGACGTAAGAGAAGAGTGTACAGGAGTCTCCTATTCCTTTCCATAGGTTGAAAACGTCGACCCGTTCCAGAGCAAGCGACTTCGCTACTAGTAGGGCCTTCCGTGCCAGCTCAATACAGTCATTGTAAAGACCCTGGTCCAGACTCTTCCAGGCGCTCTCGGTAAGCGTTTGAAGCAGCGCAATTGCCACTCCAAATTCATTAGGCCGCACCTGCAAGACGTCCTCATATCTCGCAATAGCATCCTCGTATTCGCCGAGCTCTCGCTTGACATTAGCCAGCATGTACCTTGCAAACCAGATCTGCTCCTTGTCGGACAGATTATCCTCGAGCTGCTGTGCGTGCTCAAACGCCTTTGTAGCGGCAATGAATCTGCCAGAGTGGTGGTAGCTCTCGCCTAGACCGACCCATGAATGGTAGTCGTTGGGAGAGATTCTGAGAGCCGCCTGGAAAGAGACAATACTCTTAGGGTACTGTTGCTTGTTGATTTGCACTGTGCCCAGAGCTGCGTAGGGCCAGCTGTAGCCTTTGCGCTTCGAGCCTGGGGCAGGCTTAGCTTTCCCTGAATCAACGACACGTTGGGACACAGCTTCGACAAGATCCCATTCCCTCTGATCGGCGAATGTCTTGGCAAGTCGCTCAGCTGCTTCGATCTCTGACGCTGACAGCTCGAATGCCTTGTGGAAGCACCTGCGTGCTCGGGTCTTGTCCTTTTTGTAGTCTGCATAGTAGAGACCGAGACTTGTATAGGCAGGAGCAAAGTTCATGTTTGACTGGATAGACGCGAGGAAGCTGGCGTATGCTCCAGTCCGGTCTTTGCGTGCTGCCGGCGATGGATCATTCTCCCACTGGCAGTATCCCACCCGGTAGAGGATCTCAGCTTTAAATTCTCTATTGTCAGACTCCGCTTCCTGAAGTTCCTCAAGAACGTCTTGCAGTCCCTCCAAGCCAGATGCAACATCGCCGTTGAGTGCCCTACACCACGACAGCTCACCGCGGACTTTAATATTCGTCGGGTCTCGCTCTAGCGCACGCTCCAGGAAATTGACGGCTTCGGAGTAATCCTCGTCAACCTTAAGGATCAGACCGATACCCAACAAGCAGCTTGTGGATTTCGGCTCTCTACCCAAGATCTCTTCGAAAATCCGCTTAGCTTCGGGGTGATGCCGGGGAGACTGGTAATAGATAAGCGAGTTGGCGAGCATTATGTTGAGTGCATCCGTGGTGTTTTGCAGACTGATGCCAGTCCTCCTGACAAGGTCCTGCACATTGCGAAGGCCTTTGCGACAGACATCCACTGTGCTGTCGTACTCTTCAAGTGAGAGATACAGTTCGGCCACGACCCGGTGAGCGACAATAGATGCCGAAGATCCTTCAAGGCCTTCCACCATCAAGAGCAGGTTATCCTGGACACCTAGCTCATTGCTCTCGCCATTGTTGTTCTCGGTCTCTTCATCCTTCTTTGCAACTTCTTTGGGCTCTTTGTCTTTCGGGAACGGTGACAAGTCACTAGCCAAGAAGCCCTTCAGCAGCTTAGAGAGGCCGTCTTCGGGGAAGAATTCAATAAAGTCGTCCAAGAAGTTGCGGTCCCACTCCGAGAAGTTCTGAATATCCTGCCATTCTAGCACGATCTTCCACGCGAGCTCGTAAGGGTGCTTGATGATCACCATATCGTGGGCGGCCTGGAACACTTCTGCTCGCTTGGCGTCCTTTTCATTCGCCGGTAGCACGGAGAGGATGTCGTTCGCCCGCTGTAACAACTTCTCTTCGTAGGTACGCCGAACTTCATCATCATGAGACCAATTGACAATTCCACGGTATAGCTCCTCTAGCTCGCTCCGCTTGAAGGCCTCCCTCTTGACCTCCAGTGTAACCTGATCAATCTTTGCCCCCAGTCGCGTACGTCGTTCACCGATTTCTCTGTTGATAAACTCCTTTTCCTCCGCCTCGGTCATTTCTATCAATCGGAGGTAGGTGTGCGAAGGATGGGGAACTCTTCCCTCGAGGAAATCGTAGAGCGGGCATGATGGCAGATGTAATTCGAGGGCTTTCTTGTACTGCGACCGAGATCCGTTCTTCTTCGCGAACCCGACGTACTTGTCGACCAAATCTTGGCAGCGGTTTTTGTCATCTCTGCACTTATTTAGTGATCATTCAGTATAAAGACAAACACGAAATGTGAACGCACGATTCGGCATATACTTGACCAAGTCGGAGAACTGCGTCGCGATACGTATCGAGCTTGTGAGCTCCCTGCTTCTCAAAGAGGTTGATGAGTCCCTGCCACGCTGTCTTGTCGTTCTCTTTAACCCGAATTGCCGAAAGATAGGCTCTTTCAGCCTCGGTGTTTTTGTTAAGTTTATCTAAAGCTAGACCAAGGAAGACATTGCTGTAAGATGGTTAGACGGTGAGCAGCGCAATGGGTACCGCGGGGTCGGGGCAACACACGCATGGTAGATCTGAGGATCTTGCTGCACAATAGCTTTCGCTTTCTCAGCTGCAAGCTCGAAATCCTTTGCGTCGAGTGCTGTTCGCACCGCCTTCAGTGCGGATTTGCTTGACATTCTAGAACAATTGCTTCATGGCCCAGCCTGTCGAGGCGAGATTCGGGATAGACGAAGTGGAGGAGCTGAGCGCCGGTCGAGAAAAGGCTAGCTATGTGGGGAAGCCCAAGCGGGTACGGATCGTATATTCGTATGGTACGTCAGAGGCCCGGTCGCTTCCCGTTATCTCCAATCACCCGTGATACTCTCTCCGCAGTGATCCTCGATTCACTCTACCTTTGATAGCGGATTCTCCAGGCGCCAGGGGGGATTTTTGCTGAGCAGGATTCGCGTCGTATTTAATAGATGCATTTCTTCATGTTTTACATTTGTCTTCACTCTCGTTGAGTCTGCCTTTGATGGTTGGACAGCTTGCTCCTGCAAGGTTAGCGCGGATCCCCGATCGACACCTCATTCGGGCCCCCGGCTGTCCTGCTGTACACCGTACTGACTGACTCTCATCTCCCAGAATAACCTGTCTGTCACCCGACCTGTCTCGTTGCTTTAGGCTGTGCTAGATATTCTCCGAGAGGTTGCGGCCGTCTGTGTCTACACCCCTTTTATCTGATCCGGAGCGTCAACGCCGTTGTCGCCTACTACCTACCTTGCCACTGGCAATCATGGGCCCTCTACGACTC